TAATTTAACAATTGATTTCATCTATCCAAGTTGTTATAACAACAAAGTCAATGTCATATCAACAAAGTCAATGCTTATATCATTAAGTCAATAGCTAAGTCAGCATTATTAACAAAAAAAAAGTATTAGAGTTATTAATTGGATTAAAATTTTAAAATCAAAATGATATGATGACTAAATTTATATAAATTATAAAACATAGTATGAGGCCAAGTTAGTATTTTTAACAACCAAATGATTTGATTAAAATTATTAAATCAAAATAATACGATGACCAAATTTATATGAATGTGATATATAACCTAAATTCTAAAATTTGGTAAAATATCGAAACCTTTTACATAATTTGACTTTTAAAAAACAAAGATAGTTATCATATTTGCAAAATGGTTATTTGGGCTATCAAAATTCTTCAATTCCATATATATAACAAATGAGATATATATCTTCACTTTATATATAAATAAAAATTATAATTATAATAAAATAACATATCTGTTTAATGAAACAAATCAACTACTTAAACTAAGAAACCAACATAAATTTTAGAATTGCTCATTGTCATTGAAAAAAAAAATTAGCAAAATATTAAAAAAATAGTCGAATAAAAGTTTAATAATTATTCAAACCCTTATCATTTTATTGCATTCAATTAAGTCTTTAAATATCTATTTTCATCAATTGAACCTTTATTAAACGAAAATTAGTTAATCATCAACACTCATTTTCGTTGACTTGAGAGTTCAATTAAAGTGAAAATAAATGTTTAAGGATTCAATTAAGTAAGAATAGATATTTAAGGTTTAACATATTTGAAATAGAAAATTCAAAACTTAATTGATTATAATAAAATGTTAAGAGGCTTAAATGATTATTAAATTTTTATTTAAAAACTTTTTTTATGCAAAAAATATAGTGATAAGGGCTTTTGAATTTCGCCCAATACATTCCTTCCTTAAATTGATCTAAACAAATTTATTTATGTGAGTCTAATGAATTCTTAAAAATTTACCACTCCCACAAACTTCCAACAAATTTGAACTCAAACAACCATGATAGGAAAGGAGCAAAAGTCTATTAGACATTAATTTATGCAATAACAATAGTCCTCATATTTGGATGAAAGTAGTTAAAAAAGGAGAAAAGGATAGTATTTTTTTTTTTAAAGAAATGCAGAGTGATTTCAATTATTTAAGATTTTTTAATTTATTAAAAATTCTTTTTAGAGTTTTTTTTTGTATTTTTAGATTTTTTTAAAAATTTTCTTTTACTATTGATATGATAATGGTGATGTGACGTTGATTGGATTTTTTTTGTATATTTTAGTATTTTATTGAATATTCATATCACATTAATAAGTTGACTAACTATATTAATTCAAGATACTAAAAAAGATGACATAATAAAAATTAAAATATCAAACTGACAACAAATATAGAACACAAAAACCAAATGTGTATTTAATCCTTATTCTAAAAGGAATGCAGAGTAGTCCGAAATATATATGATGTCTTGCATTTAAATAGAAGGCTTAATTCTAAACGTTATACAATCAATACTAACTTTGATGCATTATAAAATCATGTTGGTCCTATTAATTTGCTTAAGCCTATAAAGCGGCTCACTAATTAATTGCCCTCTATGGTATTCTAGAAAACATGCACCAAATTAAAAATTATACTAGTGGCTAGCTAGCTAGTTAATTAATCAATTATTGATTTAAGAATTTAAACAATTGGTACCTACTTTTTTTAATGCATTGTATATCTTTTACTCTATATTTTTATTATATTTTAGGTTTAATTCAAAACAAGTGGCGACCATTTTTATTTATAAACTTTTTTTAAGCAATGAAGAAAATTGTTATTAGGTTTATATTTCTAATAATAATAACGAATATGTCTGCTTTTTCTCCTAAGTCATAATAGTAGCTAGGTTTATGATGAGTTAGCCTAAAAGAAATACAAGTAGGGTTTTGAAAATTTTTGTTGTATAAAAAAAAGTCATACCTTGAAGATAAGAAAAAAATTATAAATATTATGATTTGAATTTTACATATGTTAAATGTAATATTTTTTAAATGATAGATTATGCCAACTAAATTAAATTTTGTATTCAAAGTTTTTAAAATTTCAATCTCATAATAATAATTTATAAACCTAACAAACGCTATCATATTGTGTAATCAAAAGATAAAAGAGAAATTTTTTTTTTTTTTGATAACAAAAGATCGAAGAGATTGACTAAGTATTATATAGGGATGTATATTTTTGGCAATAAAATTTTTTACTGATTTTACCAAAAAATGAAAAAAAAAGTAATACACTAGTAATGATCGTGATTAATAATTATTAGCTATTTAAGTGTATTATGCATTTTTCCACCATATAATTAGGGCATGCACTTAAAAGATTTAGTGACAAAACATTTTTTTTTTTGGCGAGAATTTTTCAATGAGATTTTCAAAGTTTTTTTTTTTACTTTTTATTTTAAAGTTATAATGACAATTAAATATTATATTTATATAATTAATTAAAGGGAAGAGATTAAGTTACACCAAAAATTTTTTCACCTTTTTATACATTTTTTAATAATTAATTTTAATATATCCAAATGATGAGAGAGATAAATAAAAAATAATAATTTAATTTCATCATTGTCTTTATTGAAATCAATGAGTAAAAAAATATAAAACTAAAAAGTTTTACGATTGATATAACTTGATCCCTCTTTTAATTAAATAATTAATTATTATATTATAATTATAATAAAATATTATATTCATATCATAGATTGAATAATCAACTATTAAGATCCAGTTATAATTATTAGATAATTAATTAAAAAATAAAATATAATTAAATAACCAAACTCAAATATAATAAAATTTGATTTTAAAATCTCAAAGATCTCTTCTTTATCACTAAAACAAAGCCAAAATAGTACTTGATGTGTTTAGTACAAAAATTATGATAAGACAGAATAAGATGATATTATGAATATAATTAAATTAAATAATATCATCTTATCTTGTATTTGATATATACAAGAATTATGATAAGATAATTTGTTTATTAATCAAAATTATCATTCTTCAAATTTTATACAATTTAAATTATTAATATAATTTTTAAAAATATTGGATATATAAATTTAATTTTATAAATTAAAAATAATTTTTTTTACTTTAAGAGAATTAAATCATCCTATACTAAAACAATAATTAATTTTTCTTATAATATCATATTTTTTAGATATAAATTAAATATAATATAAAATAATTATTATTTTATATTATTTATTATCTTACACACTTAAACAATAGCATAAAAATATACAAAAGATTAGGGCAAAATAGTAACTACAATGCCGGAACAAACAACAATTGCACATCCTCGTCAGATTTTCATAAAAAAATAACAAGCTCCGAAGAAATAAATTACCCACGCCAAAGAAGAAGAAAGAAGCACAAACACGCTCGGCTTCCATTTGAAAAAAAATCCCTGTTCCTTCCTCCTAACGAGGTTGCACGCCTTCTCTCTCTCTCTCTCTCTCTCTCTCTCTCGGGGTTCTTTTCTTTTTTTTTTTTTTTTTTTTTTCTCTTCTCTAATTTCTTTCTTTGAGTAGGTTGTGTCTTTCTTCTCTTCCTTATCATTATTACCTTAACCTAATCAAACCCCGTAATTAAATCCACTCAATTAAATGCCATCCTAATTACTAAAACACTGGTAGCTCTCCTCTAAACTTACCGTTGCAATTTAAAATGAAATCACTAACCCCACCTAAACAATAATCAATTCTTTCCGACCCCAACTATAATTTTAATTTTCCTGCAAGATTTTATTTCTTCTAACAAATCTATAATACGTACAATATACAATTAAAAGAATTTCAAAAAAATTAGCGGCGAACACCTGTCCCATTTACAAAATGACCTTTTATCCTATGAGATTTTCTTTAATGTCAAATGTTTTATGGGTTGGATTGGTAATTGAATTATTTTTGTTGATTTTGAATGAGAGTAAATGAACTGAGATTTTAATTGATCTATTTTAAAAATAAAAACCATAAACCAAGTCAAAATAAATAAATTTTGATAATTTTTAATTGAGCTAATTTATTAAAACATTTTTATGTTCTTTAATATATTTTTCTATTATTATTATTATTATTATTATGACAATTTATTCTATAGTTTATAAAAATTGAAATTGATAAAAATATATTTAAAAGTATAATAAATTAATTATTTAAAAATTCAAAGAGAAGACTTTGGTTAAAAATATAATTTTTCTAATTAAAATTTCGAGTTAAATTTAATTATTAACATCATAAAGTTATTTCAAGACTTAAAATTCTTCTAAAGATTATTTGAACACAACATTGGAATATGAGTATTGATAAATGTACTTAATATAGATATTAAATGTTGCAAATATTTTTATAGTTTTTTTTTTTTAAAATTTTCTTTCATGAGTCAATTAGTTAATACAACGTTATAAATATTTAAAGGTATGCATATTTTAATTTTATAAAAAAAGTTAGATTAAGTTTGTAATTCTGAAATATTTAGTTATAATTATAAAATGAATAAAATATAATTAAAAATAAAAATATAATTGTTACAAATATATTTATTTATAAAATATATTATTGTTATTTAATTTACATATTTTAAAATAAAAAATAAATGTTCATAAATATTTGTAAAAAAAATTCTCGCAACGAGCGGAAAGCATCTAGTTTCCTATTAATTTGAAGTCCTACCATTTGCCTTTTTTAAAATTTAAAAAAATTATTAAAAAAAAAAAAACTCTTTTGAGTCCAGAAAACAAAGTAATTTGGTACAGTTCTTCTATTTAAAACGTCCAAAAATTTTCACAGTTGTGCTGCCGATCTTCCAAGTCCACACTGTCATTTTCTCAATGTAAAACCGAATCCCCAAGAGACCAAACCCCCTTGAAAGGACAAAAACCTCTGTATTTTTTTCCAGACAAAAACCAAAGTTGGTACAACTTATGTTCAAAAACAGTAACAGAACTCTCACTGTCTCTAACTAAAACAGAATACCCAATTGTATGAAAGCTCTTAAATTTTCAAAATCACCCCACAAGAAAAAAGAAAGGAAAAAGTTGTTATATCAGTATGTGCTAAGGCAGTGAAACCACCTCTCATAGTAAACAGAGTACTCAGCTTTTTCAAAGCAATGAAAACCAATTAGCAAGAAAGCAATAAGAGAGAGGGAGAGAGAGAAAGAGAGAGAAAATTGGGTGTTTGCATGGAGAGGATATCAATGGGAACAACTATAACAAGGAGGGCTAAAGGGCAATACCCTCCAGCACAGCCAACCCCAAGAATCCTTCATTTGCCACGCACTCGCAGGCCTAGAAGGAAAGTACCAAAGGCAAGTCCTTCAAAACTACCCAGTTTGCAGAAGGAGAGAAAAGGGAAGCTGGTGAGCTTGTTTGATCAAGAAAGGTCATTTACGAGAGGGGTTGTTCCAGTGGTGCTTGTGAGTCCAAGGGAGACTGATGAGGAGAGGAGAAGAGAGAGGGTGGAGGAGGAGAGAGAAAATAGTGGTGTAGTTTTGGTTGAAGAAGAGAAGTGGAGGTTCCAAGCTGAGATGTTGAGAGCAGAATGTAACTTGCTGAGGATGGAAAGAGAGATTGTTGTCAAGAAAATGGAGAGAAGAAGGGTGCAGATGGAGAGGACCTTGAAATCTGCTGTTCAAACTTTGCTTTCTGTTAGCTTCTTTTCTCCGTTTTTCCCCCGTGTGTTTCGTTTTGATTATTGTCTGTTTGGTTCTTGAGAAAATATTAGTCTCTTAATTTCTTATTATGTGGAACCAGCCAGTGAAAGTTGACTATAGTTATTTTCAAAAGACAAAAACATGTTTAGTAGAAGTTCTGATTTCAGGGTTTTGCTGGGTGGGTTGTTGATAGAATGTGGAGGTGGAATAAGAAAGTTGCCCATTGAAACAAAGTCATTGTGTTTAATTGAGCTGAACCTTAGCATGTCAGATATAGGCATATAACAAGCTAGAATAAAAAAAAAGGTTACAAATATTCAACTTTTCTTTACTATTTATTTATTTTTAATATTTTCCCACTTTGAATCTCCATTTATTTCAGCAGCTATTGAAAAGAATGTCTCTGTTGATTTCTTTTCAGATGACATTTATTTATTGTTTTTGTTTGATACTGTGTGCTTCTGGTTTTAGCCCTGTCCTAGATTAATTTGTTGAACAGTTGATGCTTGTCTTCATTTGCTTACTGGCTAAATGTACAGAAAAAGCAGGCTTGTGAATTCTGAGTATTTTGCTAGTTACCTTGCTTTGTCTTAATGTGTTTCAAAAAACAGACAAAAGTGAACAGGAGACACTGAATAGTATGCTTCCTTTGTTTTTCTTTTTCATTATTTGAGCATCTGTGCAGCTTTCTTGCTCAACAGTGATTTCTTATATTCCTACCTTTTTCTTGTTATCTTTTCATATATATGCCATTCAATGACCTTGATATGCTAATTGGTTTGCAGGGAAGAAAGAATATTTGTGAAGGAAAGAATGTGAGCTTGGTACTGGAGGAGCAGATCAATGATTTGGTGGAAAAAATAGAAAAACTGCAAAAGAGGTCAGGAGTTAAAGACTTGGAGGTTAAAAAATGTAGTAATTTTGATAAGCAAGTATCTTTTCTCCAAAGGCGGTTAGAGAAGTTTGGAGGAATCTCTGATGAAGAAATATGTGTGAAGGAGATTCGAGAGATGGCAGAATCAAGCTTGTCGGTTAAAATGAGCTGTGATAGGGATGGGAGCTTTGTTTCAAATCGCAACAGCAATGTAAGAATATAAAACTTTTCTTTTCCTATTAATTTTGTATATTGTACTACTCTTTGCTGCTTAGTGATTCAAGTAATTTAGGATAATTAACAACAATTCTTTTCTTTCGACACATTTTCTGAGTTGTGATGGGAGTTCTAGGTGGGGAGTTTTAATTTGAAGCAAATTTGCAGGTGGAAATTTTGAGAAGAAGGATGGAGGGATTGTCAAAGGGGGTTTTATTAGAGAGAATGGAGGAGGAATATGGTTCAATGCTCTCTACAGCTAACAGTTCTGCCTCCAGTTCAGAGAGGATTGATTATTCTGATTTGTCATTGTCATCAATGCAACAATCATACAAGGTAAATTCCTTGAATCATCACTTTCTAGCCCTTTGTTCCATCAGTACTTCAAAAACTGCTTATTCATAGAGACGGTAGTAAAAGAGAATTCCCAATGGTTGGAGCTGTGGTCAGATGCGGATTTTTTATATCTAGCTAGCTAATTTCTATTGTTGACCCATCTGCTTTTCACATGAATGACATTTTATGGTACAATGGTTCATAAGTAGAATTGGGTGACCTGGTGTCATGTCAGATAACTTTAGCAGAAGAACGTAGTATAAACTTTCAGGATGTGCTTTAATCCTTGCAGCGATTTCGCTAAAGTATAGAGGGTGACTGCAGCTTCGCCTTAATTGTTATCTTTCCTCCAAAATTATCAAATCATTCTGTTCATATCAATGCTCCTTGTATTAGAATATTCATTATTTGGTTAGCTAACATGCATATGCTTGGAAGCGTGTATATTTGCCATTGTTGAGCTCTGGAATAATGTGAGCAAAATGATAATTAGACCATTTGCACTTTTTATTTTCATTGTTGAAACAAATGTGGGGTTATGAATGCCACGTCATTTTTCTTTCGTTTTTGTATTACAGAGAGAACACTCTTGTCAAGTTACTGTTATTTCTCTCACCATTAATCCCAAACTGGATAATCAAGAAGCATTCGTTAAATTTTTTTGTTATTTGGTAACTCAATTCGACTGTGTCAATACTAAAATTTACTATGATGATCTGTGAAAAAGAGCACTGCTTATTCCCTTCAGAAGTTTCAACAAAAGGTTGAATTATTAGAATGTTAATGTAAAGTAAACAGGAGTTTTAAAATATGGCAATATGTTGCAGTTAAGCCTCAAATTTAAATTCTAAATGAAGGACAATATACTTATTAATTCCTGTTGGTGTTGAGTTTTTTTGTACATTTCTACATTAATTTAGTTCACAGCAGATGAAAATCTGGATTCCCAATTGATTGCCAGACACTTCTTTTCTGCAGGAGAAAATTCTCCATGAGGGAAGAGTTTGTTCAGGACATTGCAAGGCTATAGTGCAGAGGATTGTAGAGCAAGTTCGTGCTGAGACTGAACAATGGTCCCAGATGCAAGAGATGCTGGGGCAGGTAAGGGATGAGATGGAAGAATTGCAGACATCTCGAGATTTTTGGGAAGATCGAGCACTTGATTCGGACTATCAGATTCAATCCTTGCAATCTGCTGTAAGATTTTCATAAGCTACTTAGTGCAAGTTATTCTACGTTGTCTCTTATTGTTTAGCTATAACTGTTTGGATGGCATCATGGTGTGCCAACTATTTTTTATTGCTTTCTTTGCCATTTAATTGGGGGCAGAGAACTACAAAACCAACCACATCCTATTGATAGGTGTTCTGGACTATTCTAGTCTTTTAGCTGCAAAATTCCAACCGATATAGAGGGAACTATTTTACAGCCTTCCTGGCTTCAAAAGTTTCAAACCTCATTCACTGCTAAATATTATGAAGATTTGGAAACTAAGATGTTAGTCAGTAGGATTTCAGAATTAGAATGTATTTTTAATTTCATTAACAGGTCTTTTTTTACACTACATACAATCTTTTGTCTTCTTGAAGAAATAATAGAATTATGAACTAGAGCTTACTTTAGTTGATTCATGCAGCCATTCTTAAGAGGCAGTATCCGAAGGTCTGGGGTTTAAATTCCAACACCTACAATCCGTTCCCCTATTCTAGGCTACTACCTCTTTTGTACCAAAAAAAAAAAAGAATTAGATTAACCAAATATATTAAGGAAATCTGTCTCCTCTGCATCAAATTATCATATAATGTAGGAACTAGTTGAACATTTAGTTGCATACAGTTTATTAGGGAAGAAAATTGCAAGTGGCAGGGGGTGAGGGTGGAAACTGGTTTGTTGCAACTATGAAAATTATGAAGGACAAAAGAAAAGGACAGCTTTCTTTTGTTGCACCTTGAGATGCTTAATATGTTTGTTGCTTTCGTTAGGTGAAAGAATGGAGACAGAAAGCTCTCTCATCTGAAGCAAAGGCTAATGAGCTACAGGCGCAAATATCGTTGCTTCATGTAGAGATCGAGAGACTGAGGAAGGAAAGAGGTAGAAAAATATTGAGGGCCAGAGATGTTTCACCAATTAAGCAAGAAGCACAAAATGAAACAGAGAAGCGGGTACTCCTCTGTCACTTAAAGGAAAACCGTTGTGCGAACAATGATGGTTGCAATCAGAAGGAGCATTTAAGAGATGAAAGAAGAAAGACCCAAACATGCACTGCTGGACTTCTTCCCAGACGATCACCCCTGATAGAAATTGGTAATATGTCAGGACTGATGAAGCAACATGGTGAAGGAATCTTGCCATTGTTTTGCCTTCATAAAGAGGAAATGAAACGTTCATTCTAGACGAACTGGATCCTGATCTGTAGGGCTATCAAATCGTTGGTTCACAGTTTTCACTGGTACACAAACTTGTGAGTACACATAGTTCATGAGCAGTACATCACTGGGGTGGTTTTGAAGCTGTTCATTATTTTTACTGCTGCTTCTACCTTACAACATTCAAGTGGAGTCTACAGAGAAAAGCGTGCGCAATGTTGCGAATCTAATGCTGCTACAGCTATTGGACAGTAGATAAATCAAGATAGCAACAACACAATCTTGAGCTGGCTAGTCATGTATGCAGATGGTAAAATTAATCCTTCTAGTTAATATTGGCAGTTAAAACTTGCTTCTTTTTGTTGAGCTTAGAATGTTTTATCGTTGATCAAATAAATTAGCATTTGAATGCCCAGCCAATGTATGCCGTAGTATAAAACCATACTAGAGGATTTCCATTCATGGCATCCGAATGCCATTAGACGGGTATCCAAATGCCTTATTTTCAGCATGACATTCAAATGTCTTTGGTCGGGTATTCAAATGTCAAATTGAAACAGAATTATTTTTCATTCTGAAATGCAAGAGATTCGATTCCCTATGCGTGGACATTCAAATATTCATATGTGATGTCTCTGCAATCGTTTCTTCATATCTTAAATCGATTTCCTTAGTTTGAAACATTTTCAAAAGCTTAATAAACACTAGTTTCTCATTCAATTGATTAACACATTACATTGTCTTCAGCTTCTTGGCCCAGTGGCCAAGCAAGCCTTCAGAAGACATCAAAGGTCGGGGTTCGACCCCAGCCTTCCCTCTCTCTCTTGTTGTAGGGCTCTGTACCCTTTAAAAACCAAAAAAAAAAAAAGAACACATCACATATCTTTGAATCGATAATTCTATAGGATTAGTCATTTACTAATCCAAATCCTATGATTTGAATCAATAATTTTATATGCAGCATCACTGTCTACAAAGCAAAATCAAGATTTACAACATTTCAAATGTTATTTGGCCCTTTAAATGACCTCTTTTTATCGTTTAGATATTTTATAAGAAGATGCTAAAAGGATAAGAATCAACCATCTTTAAGTGAGTTCCATAACTAAGACTTAACGATGTTGCAAACTGATCACTAACAGAATGTTGAAGATTAATGATAGATTTATCAGCTAAAAATAAAAATCTTTAACTTACGAATTCACAATATTAGGAGTTTCTTATATTAATTATGCGAATTATAGTATGAGTTTCTTACAGTATTCTATTTGGACATATGTTAAAAAATTATACCATGAATTTAATTAACAAAATTTTAACTTTTTTCATTCAAATAAGTTGGAAATTTTCAACTTAGAATTCACAATATTTATAACTTAGTAAAACTTAAAGATGTTTAACCATTGGCTGACAATTGATTTAACATTTGCTTGACATTGACTCAATTTCAATGCGTCATTTACATTTTTTTAAGAAATGATATTTATTTATTTCACTTCTCTTTGGCATATACGAGCTTAGATACCCAATTGGAGATAATTCTTTCATATCTCATCAACTCACTTTTCTTATTTATAAGTTATCAAAACTTTAAAGTGTCTCCTTTTCATCGACATTTGTTTCAGTCTTTGTGGATGCATGATTTAATTACAATACATCATGTTGTAAATTTGCTTTTAAAAAAAAAAAATTTTTTTTTAATAATAACTGCCAAATAAAGATCAATTAGTAAAAAATAAAAATATCATAATTTTAATAACATTTTAATTAAAAGAGCTAATTTCATACGTCTCATATGAGCCCATCTCTTTCATATTGAGATATTAGGACCAAGAAATTTGAGTCTCATTCGTTATAAAAAACCAAGCTTTTAGTGTGAAATTTTTTTTTATTGTTTAGTGACGTTTAAAAAATGCCACTAAAAAATTTATGACATTACATCAAAAAGCGATAAAAAAAATTGATTATTTTTATTATGATACAAATATCACTAAATTATCTTAAATAGTGGCGTGTTGTTTAGATAAATGTCGCTAAATATTACATTTTATATTATATCATTTTTCATTTTCATTTTTTTTGAATTTACCACATTTTTATTTGTTAATACCAATTTGCGATGACAAACGCTACTGCCTGCTATTCTCACTTTTAACGGTGTTTACTCATTAAACGTCATTAACATTTTCATAATACAAAAACTCACGATGCTTTTTTAATGAAACCACTAATAAAATACCACTAAAAGCCAAATTTCATATAATGATTGAGATGTGTACTCAAAGGCTTATGACATTAAATGTTAATTTTATTAACTTTTTTACAAAATTTTAGTTATTAATTGTATAATATGTTTTTACACAAAAAAAGTATTTTGAACATTTCATTTGTAATTAAAATTTTATTTTTCGATTATATATTCATAATTAAAATTTTGAACACAATAGATATTAATGCATGTTAAAATTTTCAATGAAAATATGTATATTTTTAAAAAATTGAGCGTAAAATATATGTAAATTTTAACATATATATATATATATTTATATATCGAATCAACACAAAAGATATAAAAGAATGATCATTTTCATTAATGCAAGAGTGGTGCCATCACTTTGTGGAGAGACTTTCTTTTAAATATTTATAAATTTTTTATCAAATTAATTTTAAAATATAATTTTAAATTAAATCACATTAAATAACAAGTATTCATTTAAATAATTCTTATTTTTTGTATATTTTAATATAGTATTGATATTAATATAATAATATTTTATCAATTATGGAAATTAAATATATGAAAATTAAGTATTTATAATTACATAATACAAATGTATTTGAAATTTTAAGTTACATGTATTTTTATTTATTTAATTACATAATAAAATACCATAAATATTTAAATTTTATTATATAGCTTAATAATTTTTTATTTGTGGTATAAAAATATATTAATTTTTATGTTATCAAATTCTTTTAACGAAAAGAAATTTTACTAATTAGTTTTTATCATTTAATTTATTTAATAAATTATCATATTTAGTTTCTATTCTTACCCTTTTATTTTAAAGGTAATTGATAAATTTAATTTATGTAAAAAATTAAATAAGCAAAAAAATTGGGCTAGTAAATATTTAATTTATTTTTGGATTTAGTCCAAAAATTTTAAATACAACTACAAATAATAAATATAAAAAAAAATAGGACATTACTCATAAATGAACTAGTCTATTTTTTAGAAATTTTGGGCTTAAATCTTCTGCTCACCAATTCTCTTTAGGTTGGATTACCATCTCAAAACTTTGATCCAAAACTCCTAATCAAAAATTTTTTTGGGATTTTTTCATTAAAGGGAAAATGATCTTTTGTGATAGTGGACAGCTGTCAACTATTTTTTTTTTTGCGGATTCATTTAATATATAGATACTTTTATATTAATTAATTTCATTTCCTAATTAAAACAATCATGATTAATAATTTGATTGCATTAATATTTTTTATCACTCGATTGTATCAATATTTCAATATTAACTAACATTACAACATATAAGAAAATAAATTTTTCTTTTTTTGAAAAAATTTATCCACGCTGGAAATTTTTGTATAAGATAAATGGAAAACCATCTTTCATGGATCATGCATTCACAACAAACTACCAATCTCAGGGTTTTTTTTTTTTTTTTCTTATGAACCAGATTTTTATAACATTTTAATTTTATTATACCAAAATTGTAATGAGTAGAATACCACAGTAAAAGTTCATTACTTTTATAATAAATTAATCCATTTCATATTACATATAAGTAAGAAAGTATATTTAATTGTAGGCTGACAATGTTTAGGAATTTTTAATTATATGTTAAATTATCAAGAATTGAAATCTTTATCATTTAATTTAAAATTTTAATATTACATTACAATAAATTACATGATTATTGATCCTATTTTACTAATTAATTTTTTTATTTTTTAATCTTTAATATGCAAAAATTAAACAATAAAAAAATTTATAAATTGAGTGAGGATCTGAATTTTATTTTATTTTTTAAAAATCATCATATATACTTCAATTTTTCAATCAAATAATTACATGCGAAAAATGTCACATTTGATTATTGTTGAACATTGTCTTAAAAGTTTAAATGATATAGTTTGCTGGTCAATCATTATGCAGAAATCTTTCCTTTTTTAACGTTAACTTCTATTATTAAATTTTTTTTTCATAATCGATTGCCTTTTAAATTTAAATTTAAAGCTAAAATTTTAAATTCTTTATAGTGTGTCTATCATAACATAATGGCATATTAATAAAGTAAAAAATGAAATTGTGACATTTTATTTATTTTTTGTATGTATGATATTTAGAGATGTTCATGAACTATGATAGGTCCAATTTGACTTGCATTGAGACTAAAAATATTAAAATATTAATATTTTAAAATAAAATAAAAAATTTTGTAAATTAAATAATACCGCAAACCATACTTAAAATTAAAAAACTTTGTCTAGGTCTAAGCCAGATAGTCAAGCCTGTGAATTGGATAAGCAATCCAATCTATAGAAAAATCTAATGATATTGAACTATATAACAACGGGTAATTCTCTTTTATATCATAAATCCTAATTCTCGTTCTCAATATTCGAATTCCAAATTTTTAAAATAAAACATTATTAGAATCTTTAATTAATACAATGTTGAACATCTTTTAAAAAAATTGAAAAGGAAAATGCAAACTCAAATTTTTATGCATGAATATATACACTTCACATGGAACAAAGAGGTCAGTACCAATTCTTTTCCCAACTTTCATCATATAAATAAATTTTATTCATTTTGATTTTCATTAAAACCAAGCACAAGTCAATTTTTCCATTTTTCTTTTTTATTTTTATTTTTTTATTTTCTATATTTAATAAATAATCAATTTTTTAAAAATTTAAAGTGAGATTTATTTGATATTATTGATTAAAAAATATTTTTTAAAAAAAATTTTTAATTAGATATTTTTTAAAGAAATAATATCAATGGATGTATACGCATTACACCCTATTTGATGTCTTTTCTTTTTTTTCTTCCGACCCTATCACCTTTTTTTTCTTTTTACTTCTTTTAATTAGAAAAATTTTATAATAAAATGAGTCAGTTTAGGTGTCCATGTGGTATCTAATTTGATTTACTTTCTTTTATTTTTTAATGCCATTTTTTTTGTTCTTTTTTTAGTTTTGACTATTTTTAATTAGATAAATTTTTCAAAAAAAAAGTTAATGTAGGTAAAGATGACAAAACAAGTTATATTTGATAGATTTCTATTCATCTCGATCTAATAAGTGCGGCTTTTTTTCTAAAATTTGAGATCAAGTTGAGTTTTTTTTTTTTTTTTTAAAAATCGGGATCTAATCAAAGGTGAGTTTAGGGTGTTTCACCTTTCTTAGGATATATATAAAAATATATTTTATTATTTATTTAATTTTATATTTATATATTTGTATTATATTAATAAAGTTATAATTTAATACTTTAATTTAATAAAAATATTATATTTATACATAATTAAAATGTAATTTATATTTAAAATAATATTTTAAGAATATTATATTAAATAAAAATTATTGCATTAATCTTTTTA